ATTTCGGTGTGATCAAGATTATTCATCACATTTACACATCAAATTTATTATTATCATTAATTAAAGATAAGTTTTAAATTAACAAAAAAAAAGAAAGATAACAATATATTTCATTGATATATTTTATTTAAATACACCGCCAATATTTCATAAATAAATATAGAACNAAAAAAAAAGAAAGATAACAATATATTTCATTGATATATTTTATTTAAATACACCGCCAATATTTCATAAATAAATATAGAACTACCATCCACCCCTTTTTGTATTCTTTACATTTTAAGGACTTTTGAGTAAATGTGTATCTTTCCTATCAAGAATATCTCTATTTTTTTGTTCAACGAAAAAGAAAAGAACGAAAGTCATTTTTTTTTAAAACTTCCTATTTTGATGTTAACAGTCATTATCATAGTTAACAACCATTATATTAATTTAATTACTTTTGTTACTATCGAGAATTCTAAAACATACATTTGACTATATGCACTTACTGTATTTTGCTGGCTTTCTGTCAATTTTGATTATTTTTTGGAGTATTATGTAATAAACTTTAATTGTAATGACAAATAGTACTATTAAACTAAAGAACTGTCGGTATTAATGAGCATATAAGCCCACTTTCTTGTCCTATTTTTCGAAAGTAACAAATATATTCTTTCCATGTTACCACAAGAAAGAAAGATGTTTTTCTCTCAAAGCATCTAAAGGGAATTATTAAAAGATCATGATATAAAAAATGAAAAAAACAAAAAGATACCCCTTTTCCCCAATTAATTAAATGCCTACATATTCCTAATAAAAGTCATATACACACCCTTTTCCCATCTTTATTTTTCAAAGCAAGCTTTTTTTTGTTCTTTTTCCGTGACATGTTCGTGTGATAAAAAGTACTAATATATGTGTGAGAATTATCCAAATAAAAGCTACGTATCAAATGAAGTGTATCCAAACTTAGAACAAGGGGATATCAAGCTTAGATCATACTTTGTTTATGCATAATAATTGATGTCCGAGTTTCTTTCAAAAAACATAAATGATGAGATCTTTTTTTAAAAAATGGGAAGTTTTTAATGGGACAACTCAAATTTATAGAGATTTTAACGAGTGTTCTTGTTACGAGTCGCTTGTAAACTTAAAAGTATGCACTTTGTCACCTTAATTTGGATTGAGCCTCAAAATTAATTACCAGTTAATGGAAGCCCCAATTCAACAAAAATCAAACTAATTATATATAGTTATACATGGTATGAATTAAATTCAACAAAAATCAAAACTATACACACAATCATAAGTAGACATTATATAGACTACAAGATTAAGTAATTCTGATACAATGTGATTTAAGCACACGAACACGAACACGAACACGATCGATAATGTATATGCATAAGCATGGACTATTTTAAATTTTTTATGATCACGTTGTTGGAAAAATAGAGGGGTAATTTTGTCATTTCACACAAACACTAGGGTGTTAAACTGTGATTTCTCTTAACCAAATGATATCGTCAGGTTCTGTTGTTGGTAGCGACTATTACTATAGTTAGGTAAAGCTGCATTGGTATTTGGCGCGTATATATATAAACCAACGGACGACAACTCGCCTGCCCTCAAAGCCCCCAGAACCAAAGATCAAAAACTGACCAAGAAACAAACCACTACACACTCACCTTTTTAGAGAGAGAAAGTTTGTCACAAAAGTAGAGAGAGAGAGAGAGAGAGAGAGAGAGAGAGAGAGAGAGAGAGAGAGAGAGAGAGAGGCAAAGAGACCAGACCCAATACACACCTATACAGTGATACAAAGGGAGAAAGACACAAACCCACCCACAAAAACTCTTCTTTCACACTACAAAACCACCATCCCCATCCAGGCATCGATCAGAACCCTTTTACTCAATCTCTCTCTCTCTCTATATATATATATATATATATTGTGTGTATATATAAACATTATAGGTATTTATTGTGTATACGGGTATATATTCCGTACAATGACGAGGTATGTTCGGACACAGTCAATGGAAGGTACGCAGGCCGATCCGGTGGGGGAATGGAGCTCACCGGGAGGTGAAACGGGGCTCGAAGGCAAGTCTAGTGACTCTGCATTTGAATTTCATTTCAATTTGATTGGAATTTAGTTTGTGAATTTTGTAATGTGGAGTTTTTTTGAATGCTGATTTTGCAAATGCAGAGCCTATGTGGCAGTTGGGGTTGGGTACTGGAGCTGAATCATACCCTGAACGGCCCGACGAGGCCGATTGTATCTATTATTTGAGGACTGGGTTTTGTGGGTATGGTGCAAGGTGTCGGTTCAATCATCCCCGGAACCGTACTGCGGTAATTGTATCGAAATTCCCTATTTTTTCTGCTTGATTTGGTATATGTTAGGGTTTAATTGGAAGATTTTGTTATTTAATCATCCGTGACCATTGAGTTTGGAGTGTGTAATTCAGCTTGATATTTTGATTTATGTGAATTGTTGCAGGTTTGTACTTAGATTTGATCTGAATTTTTCATATTTCCAGTCTTTAAATTTGATTGTCTGCTTTCATATGAATACTGATAAATTGGTATCGAACTGTGTAAGTCTATAACTGTGTTTAAGCCTATGCTAATTGCAAGCAAAGATTAAAAATTGACATTTATTCGGGCAATTTTTTTGATTGAAAATTGTTCAGGCTGTGGGATCTATGAGGGCTACTGGAGGGGAGTTGCCCGAACGAGTGGGCCAACCTGTGTGCCAGGTACTTTGTTCTTATACTTCTTATTGGTGTCAAGCTTGTAATGTCGATGGAATGATTGACTTTAGAAGATGTAGATTTGATAAATTCAACCATGCAATGATTTGTTTGTTGATCGACTGGAGTGAGCTTCTATTTGGTCAATTATGGATTTTAGTTATATCTTTTGTTTCAACCATACTAGATTACTACTTTAAATGTTTTATTGGGGTGAAGATTACTTGTCGAAGTGCTTAATATCGGAAACATGTGCATTTGCCAAATTCTGTTTTGTTATTTTTTGTTTTTCATTGTCCATTCTAGAAGATTGAGCATGGATCTTGTAGATCCTGAATTTGTCCTTTTCTTTCTTTTGGTTCTACATTAGATAAAAGTAGAAAGTTCTTTTTGGTATTGGTTATGGCTTTTAGTATTGATTATGCATCTCTTTCTCAATCTGGTGTGCTATTTTATCAATTAGTCAGGTCATTAATAATATTTCCCAAATCCCTGATATTGGAAAATATACATTAGCTAAATTCTGCTATTCTATTGGTCCTCTTTTCATTATCTACTCTAGAAAGGTGAGCTTCTATATTGCTGATTATGAGTTCATCGTTGCTTTCTTTCAAGCTATGCAATGTAAAAACTGGAAGTTCCATTTGCATGAATAATGCCGCCATTTGTACAGATTATGCTGCCCTCACCAAATTTCGCGGTAGTTCTAAAATATCGATTTGTCTGTTGATAACTACATTCATCAAATACTTGATATTGGAAACATACGTTTGCAAAATTCTGCTATTTCCATGCCGCTCTTTCTGGATTCATAGTATTATACGAGGATGGGAAAATGAAAATTTGGTGCTTTACCAATACTCATATTTGACAAATTCTTCAAATACTTGCGGTTTGATATTGGAAAATGTGCATCCATTTAAGCAAATCATGTTATGATTCATCTCTACATTGACTATCATATAGAAAGAGTGGGCTCCAAGCAAACCATTTTTGTTTTTTGTTTTTCATTTTTTTTTGTTCTGCATTAAGTGAAAATAGTAACTTCTTTTTGTATAACAAATAACCTTCCATATTACCTTCCGAGAAGTATAAACTCTCGAATATTTGTTATGCTGAATTATACTAATAATTCAATTGTTGATTCCGAATATCTGACAATATTTTGAACTGATTGGTGTTGGGAATTGTACATATGCTGGAATATGCTGTACCATGATTTATATATGCATTTTCTATCTTTTATGTGAGTGAGCTCCAATTTCGTCAGGTGTGAATTCATCTTTTTTCTTACTTTTGGCTATTCATCTGTTATGAATAGTAAGTTTCCTCCGTGTTAGTTATGCTTTTTCATACTGACCATGGTGTTCTTAATCCTAGTACTTTATGAGGACGGGAATGTGTAAATTTGGTGCTTCCTGCAAATATGACCATCCAAGACAAGGAGCTGGATCTATAAACCCAGTGGCACTAAATATTTCTGGATACCCATTGCGACTGGTCTGCACTTTGTTAACCTTTAGCTTGCTTATTCTTGGTTAAGTTATGATCATATTCCTTGAAGTATGAAGTGCAGTTTGCTCAAAATTAAAGTTATTGTCACAGGGCGAAAAAGAGTGTTCATACTACGTAAAAACGGGGCAGTGCAAGTTTGGTGCAACGTGTAAATTTCATCATCCACAGCCAGCTGGCATACAAGTGCCGGCACCTGCAGCTGGACCTTTGCCTGCACCAGCACTTTATCCACCAATGCAGTCTCATTCTGTTCCATCTTCTCAACAGTATGGGGTGATGACTGGCAACTGGCCCGTTGCGAGGCATACTATGCTTCAAGGATCTTATGTCCCTGGCACTTATAGTCCGGTGCTGCTCTCCCCAGGGATGGTTCCCTTTGCGGGTTGGAGTCCTTACACGGTAAATCTAGTGAAGGCTCCTTGCATGAATCAGAAATTTCTTATGATGCGTACAATTTTCAACAAGTTGTTAACCCATCTGGTGCAGGCACCTGTTAGTCCATTAGCCTCTCCTAGTACTCAGCCAACCATTGGAGCAGGCCAGATGTATGGGATAACACAACTATCTCCTTCGGCACCCGCCTATTCAGGACCTTATCTATCCATACCTTCTATTGCTGGTCCTTCAAGCCGTAGCCAGAAGGAACAGTCATTTCCTGAAAGACCTGGCCAACCTGAATGTCAATATTACATGAGAACGGGGGATTGTAAATTTGGATCTTCATGTAGATATCATCATCCACCAGAATGGAGTGCACCGAAACCAAATTTTGTCCTTAGCCCCATGGGTCTTCCTCTACGTCCGGTAAGCTTCTCATCATATACATATTGAATTTTGATGTTCTGCCATAAATATTGGTATTACAGCTTGATATTACTTGTATGGAAATTTCTGGTCAATTACCATTATCTTTGGTAAGTCTCTGGTAAAAATTTTTTTGTTCCTTTCTTCTGGTCTTTTTTCCTATCGGAAAAACTGGTTGAGTGAGCGAGACCAGTTTTCATGTAGTCATTGAATATCACTTACCCGTATTATTTTTGCAAGTTGTCAATACTGACAGCAACTGTATACCTGTTTGTGCACACATCAACCTATCCTCTAAGTAGTTTTCGTTTAATAATGTTGCATGGTAAGAAAGACAACAGGAGAGTTTTCCTTGTTTAGCAAAATACGGTATTCTAGTTGTTTAGTGTTTGGATTGTACTGTAAACGATGTTTTCTTCCTACTTCAAATGAGCAGTATCAGTTAACCTGCATGCTTTACTTCCTTTTTTCTTCTCTTCTGTAACAATGCCTTTTCTTTCCCTTCTATGTTCACCTTCCCAGTTATCTTTGTCTCACCTTTTAACAACTTGCTAATTCCATGTTGAAGTGATCCTATAAATATGCGATAAACAAATATCTTTCATTGGTTTATCACAACAGCAAGAATCTGAGTGTGTAGTCTGAGTCAACAAGACCATGATTTATCCATTCTTTATCAAGGTTGAATTTTTATTTCTTCTTCAAGCTTTAGGTAATTGTTGGAGTATAGTCTAGTTTATTATGGTTTCTTTTTCCTTTTTTACCCTTACTATGATTTATATTTTGCCTAGACCACAAGGATGTTTTGGTCACTTTGTATTATTATTTGACTATATATACGGGACTCTACTCTTAGTTTGAGTATCCCTTTCACTTACATTTATCTCAAGTTGGTATCAGAGCCTAACCTCCATCTCTAGTCCTAACCCTAACCTTAACCTTAACCCTAGCCTTTATCACCTTCCCTACTGCCACCATCACCGGCCCACTGCCGGCGACAAAACCAGAAATCAAAAAACCAATTCACTGCCTCTTCCTCACCAAGAAAATACCCAAGCACCCAACATACTCACCTAGTACCCAAGCACCGACTGCCTCTTTCCACCGAGAACATCAATACCCAAGCACCCAACATACTGCCCACCATCAAACCTCATCAAATCTAACCACTATATCAGCCCACCAAACCAAAGCCACCCAGTAAGCAAGCACCGACTGCCTCCCTCAATCCATAAAGCACTGACTGCCAAAACAGTCTACTGCTCCAAACAAATAGCATCCCTAAAACCCAATACAAAACCAAACCCAATACAGTCTGCCCAGAACAAAACAACAACAACACAAACTCACTGACTACCCAGAACATAAACCGACTGACTGCCCAGAACAAACCCAATTCCTCACTGCAAATCACCGACCACTTCAGCAGCATAAACTGACTGCCCACATATTGCCATCTAGGACAAACCAAACCAAGAACAAACCCAACTCTAAGTCAGTAAACCGACTACTGAACCGAACCCAGCCTACTGCACACCAACATATTAAACCCATACATATTAAATCCGACCCAGCCCACTGCTAACCAAACCAGCAAACAAATACCCAATAAACCCAGCCCACCAAAACCTACCAATCCACTATCCATAACCCAACAATCGAACCCAACCCAGCTGTCCCGCCTTTGTACTTCCCGCTCTTCGTTGTAGTGTCGTTATCTTTGCGCGCCACTGTCGTTGTTTTCCTGGGTTGCAGCATCTAGGATTTTCTTTTCTATTGATCTGCTCTTGATACAGTAGATCATTTATATTTATTGGATTTCTGGGCACTATGACCTGATTATTTGAGAGTTTTTTGGACCTTTTTTATCTGTTGTTGCAGTTCGACTGGAGGTATATTGTTCTTTCTTATTTTGTTCCTCTATTTATCTTAGAGTTATTTTTCTGTCACGGGTGCCCTAGTATTGTTGATGATATGACTACTACTGAGGGAGTTGAGACCCCTACCGTTGAGACATCTGTTAGTACTTCTACCGGGTATAGGGGTCGACAGCGCTCAGCTCAGCGCCGTCAGGGGACTCCACATCAGCGTAGACATGAAGATTCTCGTCAGTGTGATTATTGTGGCCGACCAGGCCATCTTAGGACTACTTGCTGGAAGCTCTATCCGAAGCTTAAGTTGCCTCCTTGTAGCCGTGCTGCTATTATTGTACCACCACTTACTGCCACGGTTCCTGTTGCTCCTCCTCCTTGGCAGAGTGATATGGATGCTATCATTTCTCGATTAGATATACTTATATCCGCCCTAACTTCTCAGGGTCCGACTACTGCTACTGCTATCACTACAGGTATACATCATGCTTTTCTTGCTTGCACCAGTCTGTCTTTCCTTTGGATGCTGGACTCGGGTGCGAATGGTCATATGACAGGTGAGGCCCATCACTTCACCACTTTTGACGAGCAGTTACATACACAGGTTTAACTAGCAGATGGGACACATGCCCCTATTATTAGTAGGGGTACAGTCTGCCTCCCAGATGGCTTTACATTACATTCAATTTTTAATGCGCCAAAATTGGCTATGAATCTATTATCCGTACATCAGTTAGCCAAAGATTTTCACTGTGCGATTGTATTTTTATCTGATTCGTATTATTTGCAGGACCAGAGTACCAAGAGGATCATTATCAGGAGACACGAGAGAGATGAATTGTATTATTTGGGCGATCCACCTCTAGTTTCACCAGTTCATCCTCCTCTATTATCTGCACTTGCTTTGTCTTTATCTGTTCCTAACTTGAATGCTAGTATTTTGCCTAGTACTTATCGTTATGATTTTTCATCACAAATTGTTCAGTTGTGGCATGACCGTTTTGGGTATACAAATTTTAAATATTTATGTATGTTATTTTCTGCTTTGAGCAATGCTTGTGTTGGTGGTAAACTTGATTGTGTTATATGTTTCCTATCGAAACATGTTCGGACCAGTTATATTCCTCGCATGCACCAATCACTCAAGCCATTTGACCTAATACACTCTGATATTTGGGGACCCTCTCCTGTTACTGTTTTGTCAGGTGCTCGATACTATGTGACATTTATAGATGACCATACCCGTTATACTTGGGTCTACCTTTTACATAGGAAGTCTGATGTACTCTCTATCATCATTCAGTTTCTTCAGATGTTTAAGACACAATTCGATGTCATTGTTCGTGCTCTTTGTTCAGATAATGCCAAATAATGTGTCGGATGCCTTAGTGTCTCACCTTTCTTCTCAGGGTATCCTTCAGCAGCTCACTTGTCCATTTACTCCTGAGCAAAATGGAGTTTCTGAAAAGAAAAATAGGAGTCTAATAGGGATGATACGTTGTATACTTAGAGGTATGGGGGTACCAAAATTTTATTGACATTTTGTTATTTTGACTTCTACCTTTCTGTGTAAACGTATACCGAGTCGTATTCTTCAGCATAGGGCTCCCTTACAGGTCTTATTCCCTGAATGGACACTTTTTTCGGTCTCCCCTCGTATTTTTGGTTGTACATGTTTTGTTCAAGATCGGTCTCCTACTCGCCATAAGCTTGATGATAAAGCGATTTGTTGTGCCTTTGTGGGCTATTGTCATCAGTCTAAGGGGTATCGGTGTTATAACCCTATCAGGCGCCGTATGTATCATAGTCTAAATGTTACCTTTCTTGAGCATATTCCTTATTTTTCTTCTATTCCTGTGTCTGCCCCTTCAGTCGATGATACTCCCTTTGATTTTTCGTTACCACAGGAACCAGAGCCATTGGTCATTATCACTACAAGTCATCAGTCTTTCCTCAACCAGAGCCACTTGTCCCTGTTAGTACAGAGTCACCAGTCTCTCTTCCTTTGCAGGTTTATGTTCGTCACCCTCGCTCTCATCCCTCTGTTGATGTCCCTTCTACCTCAGGCGATGCAGATAATACTTCTCAGTTTGTTGAGCATATTGATGCACCTGTTGTTAGTACTGATGAGATTGTCGGGACTGAGCCAGTTATTTTTCCTAATGAGACATTGTCAATGGAGGATGATGATTTAGGGCATCGTTATCCGCAGCGTAATCGCCGTCCAGTTGTCTGTTATGGTTGGACTGCCAGGACTTTATATTCGATCTCTGCTTATGTTTCTTATGGTAATCTTTCTCCTACATTTCGAGCTTATAGTATGGCCTTATCAAATATGCCGGTTCCTCGCTCTGTTTCAGAGGCTATGCGGGAGCCCCAGTGGGTTCTTGCCATGCAGACGGAGATGGACTCTCTTCAGCATAATCATACGTGGAATCTTGTCTCTTTACCTTCGGGGGTGAAGCTTGTTGGCTGTCGCTGGGTTTACACCCTGAAGTTTCTTGCGGATGGTACTATTGATCGTCACAAGGCTAGGCTTGTGGTGAAGGGCTTTACTCAGGTACCAGGTCGTGATTTTGGTATTACCTTTGTCCCTGTGGCAAAATTGACTATTGTTCGATTGATTATTTCTCTGGCTGCGGAGTACTCTTGGCCTCTTCATCAATTGGATGTGAAGAATGCATTTCTTCACGGTGATTTGGATGAGATTATTTATATGGATGCACCACCAGGCTTTCGTGGTGAGGGAAAATATACTGAAAAGGTATGTCGACTGCGTAAGTCTCTCTATGAACTGAAACAGTCACCACGAGCCTGGTTTTCTCGCTTTAGTGATGTAGTTGTATGTTTAGGGTTCACTAGATATCATTCTGATCATACCTGCTTCATTTGACGGAATACTTCTGGACAGTGTGTCATCCTTCTGGTATATGTTGATGATATTATTATTACTGGAGATGATATTTCTGGGACTATGCAGGTCAAGGTAGACCTTGGGAAGGCCTTCAATGTGAAGGATCTTGGATTTCTGCGATACTTTCTTGGAATTGAGGTTGCTTATATCAGCAGGGGTATTGTTCTGTCTCAGAGAAAGTATGTTCTAGATCTTCTCTCAAATACTGGGATGTTGGGGTGCAAACCGGCATCATCACTCATGATTCCAAACCTGAAGCTTACTGCTGAAGGTGAGCAGTTGGGAAATCCGACTGTCTACCAGAGGTTAGTAGGTAGACTTATCTACCTAGCTAACAGTAGGCCAGACATTTCATTCGCTGTCAGCTGAGTTAGTCAGTTTATGCACAGACCGTGTCAGCCTCATCTTGATGCAGTTTATCATATTCTTCAGTACCTCAAGTCTTGTCTTGGACTTGGGTTGTTCTATGCATCAGGATCTCAGACTGGTTCTCTAGCCTGTTATTCAGATTTAGATTATGGGGGAGCATGTGACGGCCGATCTACTACGGGCTTCTGTGCTTTTCGAGGGACTTATCTTATCTCTTGGAAGAGCAAGAAGCATACAGTTGTCTCTTGTTTGTCAGCAGAGATAGAATATCGGGCATTGGCACTTGGCACATGTGAGATTATCTGGCTACGATCGATTCTTGGCGAGTTGGGATTTCCAGTGGTTTTTTCATCTATATTATATTGTGATAATCGATCTGCTATTTACCCCGCTCCTGACTCTGTATTACACGAGAGGACAAAACATATAGAGATCGATGTTCACTTTCTTCGAGAGAAGGTTCGATGTGGTATTGTCACTCCATTGTTTGTAGGGACTAGTAATCAAATTGCGGATGGTTTCACCAAATTTGTCACTCTATCCATTCTTCGGGACTCTGTTGTCAAGCTTGTCTTAGTTGATATTTTTGCGCCTAGCTTGAGGGAGAGTGTTGGAGTATAGTCTAGTTTATTATGGTTTCTTTTTCTTTTTTACCTTTACTATGATTTTATATTTTGCCTAGACCACAAGGATGTTTTGGTCACTTTGTATTATTATTTGACTATATATACGGGACTCTACTCTTAGTTTGAGTATCCCTTTCACTTACATTTATCTCAAGTGTAGTGAACCAAGAAGATATTTGTAGAGCTATAAGTAGTTTCCTTCCCTATTAGCTTGGAGGCTACTCCAAGGCAGATAATGGTGTTGCTGGGTTACAGTGCTTTAGTAACTCCTGTTCATCATTGTTAATGACAAAATTACATCCATTAGCCTCTTGGTTAGTGTATGTTTGATGTTTTATCTTTCCATGCATGCATGCATATGTGTATATGTGTCACATACAATAAACACATATGCCTGTAGGTGCTTTTTATGTTGGTTTTCCCATATAGAGCAAATATCGTCCTTTCTGATTTGGCAATTAGTTAATCAGATGTGCTACTTTTGTATGGTCCTAAAATACATATTTTCCTGCCTTGTGATGTTGCTAAGTGTGAAGTTTAATCAAAGAACATGCACCTTGATTGTGTCCGTCTATAGTAGTTCCACACTTTTTTTTTTCTGTAAAACTGGTTTAATTAATGCTTTTAATGACTTGAACTTCTTAGTCATATTGAGTGTGCTTTCATGTCCTTAATACTTGCCATCTCTTTGAAGAAATTAAGTTGTAGAAGATTGGGATACTATTATTGCTAGATGCGAAGTTCTAGAAAGTGCATATTCAGAAACAGGACTGTATTTTCTCTCAATGGGTTGCCCTTTTTTTTTTTTTTTGCCATTTTTCATAGTCATCCAAGCTTTATTCCTAGTTCTCCGTTGGTTGCAGAAGCGTGTTCGAAACATTTTAGCATTCTCAAAGGTAGGAGATACACAGCCGATCCCCTATCTATTCTTGTTATCTCCAATCCATTAAGGTTTCCTGAAATGAAAAAAAGGCCTGTTATGCTTAATGAGTCCTGGTTGCAAGTAATCATCTGTAAACGTGATCAAATAAGGGTTGGCTCTATCTCTGATCTCTTCGGCTTCGACCAGACGACTACTTTTCTTCATCGATCGCTAAGTCTCATTCAGTAAGTACAACACTCACTCTAGTCAGTATGTATAGTCACCAATCCAGCAAATCATCGGGCAACGCCCGTAACTCAGACAGCTGCTTCTGTTCCTTTTTCTGTTTCGTTCTTCTGTTGCCCAGGGTGGTACAAAGAAGTAAAGTTCTTGCAGATGCTGGTTCGGCACTGCTCAATATCTTCTAAGTAGTGTTTATCGTGACAGTCTTGACGTGCATACCTAAAAACAGAACCTATGCTCTGCACACAGTTGATTGGAATCAAATAGATATATCACAAAATTGATGTGGTTTCTGTGCACTTAGCTAATTAGTGGGTTCCATTGGATGGTGGGTCCCACTCATCTGTTGTGCTGATATGGTACGAGTGAAAGGGTTGTTTGTGCGGAACAGAAGAAATTTTTAGCAGGAAATGGGCCAAAGTTTTGGCTTTTAACTTCATTGAATTGAGTTTTTTATTTAACCTTTTTCTTGTGTTTTCCCTGCATTACTTCTCTCCGAATCCTTTGATATTTAACTTGCTGTGTTTAGGACCTCTGATTTGCCATTATTTGTGATGTATTTAACTCGAGTATTGCCCTTTATTTTTTGGTTGGGGTCTTACCTCATTTGAACTGCCAGAAAGGTATGTTTTTTTCAACATTCATTGTTAGAGTATTTATTTGTTTAATCATCCTTAAGCACATACATTTTTGACCTTTTCGTCACACATATTTGTTATACTCGCCACATAACGGTTTATTTACTCAAGTAAAATGTTGCATTTTAGGTGGTTAAAAAGTCTCGTTTGTCCATTGCACCAGCCAAGCACTGACTTATTTATCTTTACTTTCAGTCTAATCCTCGTAGTCACTATCTGAATTATTTTCAACCTCATGATCACTGTTTAAATCACTCACATTGCCAAGATCTCTGGCAATGACCAATTATGTGAAGTCACTGCTTCTCAAATAGGATGCCCGTGTGTATGTAATTTCTCTTATGTTCTCAGATAAGTAGTATTGCTTCATAATTCAAAACAAACAGAAAGTTCACTCGGAGAGGATAGCAGAATATATTTTATGCTATGGAAACTCATTTCTTTTGAAATGATTTAAGACCAAATCAAATAAAAAGCAAAGCTAAAAGGGGATAAAGACTGAACAAATTGAAACTCTATAAAGCTCTGAATTATTACAATGGTAATGAACCGATACAATCCCAGGAAGTATCCAGAAATAATTACAGTTTTTCACCTCCTACATTTAAGGGATTTATCCTTGCAAGACAAAGCAACCTTGATTGGAGGGTGTTGAATCCCTTCTCTATATGGAAGAAGCTAGGCTGCAAGAGACTTTTTCCTACCTAAGATGCTTTGAGAAGCCTGTAAACGAACTCGTCATATGGAGACCTTAGAAGAATTAATATCTTTGACTGGCAGAAGTGTCAATCTGTAGTTCTTTTTTTTTTTTTTCCTTTTCATTAACCATAATAATCCCAAAGTTTTATGACCTGTGGTGCTATTCACACGTTCAAGCGTCCACATTTTTGTTAACATATTGAATAAGATCAGCATCATACTCATGATATTAGCAAGAGAGAACAAGATTTTGAATTTTTGACACTTAAATGCATGTGGACATGTTGAGCAATTTGTGTATTCAAGAACCGATGTGTCTTTCACTTAACTTTTTAATCCTTCTATACCTATGTTTCCTTTTATGAGCGCATTAAATTGCTTAATGTGCATTTACTATTAAGATACGGTATCACAGTTGTTACCATTCCCTGATGACATAATTAATATCCTGTTTCCAAAGGTATATTGTTAAAAGCCCTGCCATTCCATTCGGCAACTAATTTTGTTTTCTTATTTTTTTACTAGGGTGCACCACTTTGCTCTCACTATGCGCAAAATGGAGTATGCCGATTTGGGCCCTCATGCAAATTTGATCACCCAATGGGAACACTGAGTTACAGTCCATCTGCATCTTCTCTTGCTGATATGCCTGTTGCTCCCTATCCTGTTGGATCATCAATTGGTACTCTTGCTCCATCATCCTCATCATCGGACTTGAGGCCTGAACTTTTTTCCGGTTCCAACATGGATGTCGTCTCAAGCAGAATGCCTTCTTCTATGAGCACATCAAGTGATTCTGTTGGGTCAATATTTTCAAAGAGTGGAGCCGTTTCTCAGTCTGGTGTCCAGCAGTCCTGACAGAGTTCTACCTCTGCAACTTGTGGCAGCAGCACAGGTCCTGGAGGTGATATTTGCACCTCAACCTTGGCAAAAGAATTGAGCCATCCTCAATTTTCCTACTGGTCAACTTTCATTTACCCTAAGTCATGTTTTTGTGCAAGTCGTCTAATACTAGACTTGCTTTGTTAGTTATTCTGGTCCACATTTCTAGCACTCTGTAGCTCCACTCATCTCTGTTTTCATATAATTCTCCATATGGCCTCCTGTTTCATCTTGAATAAGCCATATCCAACCTTCAACAATCCAGCAAACCTCATATACCTTCCAGCTAGCATCTGAATAACCAGAAAGAAAATCCACTTCCATTAGGCAAATTTGGATACATATCTCCAATTTTTGGGAGCTGTTGTGCTTATTTACTTTGTAAATCCTTTTTGGAACGAAAAAGATCAGTGACAAATTGTTCCTCCTTTCACTTGGATTCTGTGTGCGTATAAATCTGGGAACAAGCTTCCAATTCAGCTTAGAAATGAATTTGAAGGCTTTGTTCCTCCCATCATCTGGGGCTTTGTTGTGGGGAAAGGGAAATTTTTTAGGGACCAAGGACTCCAAGCAAGGCATTACATGCCTGCCTTATGTTGTCAGATATGAAATAGCTTAGAGTCCCAATGAATTTATTTCCAAATACAGCAAAAGAATGGGGATAAGAGATTGACTTTGTAAGAATTATCTCTTTATTTTATCTGTGCATCGATGAGGACATTTTTACTTCTCATTATCACTGCTTTCATATTTCATGAATGTATTTTGTCTGTTGGATTGTTTGTGCTATGTAAATCTTTTTCAACAATCGCTCTTTATTAGATATACGCGATATATGCAAATGATTTGAACAGCAGAAATAGGCATTGGCTTAGAGACAGGGATGTTATTGCATGTGCATTTCATCTCTCTGATCGTATGTACCAGTTTGGTTGCCTGTGTTCTGGGATGGCACAGTTCTTTTTTGGGGTTCCCAGCACACTATTTTTGTACCATTTTGATTGGTTTGGATGATGAGAAGACGCGAAAGTTTTACTTTCTGTCTATTCTGCATTTTGTCCAAACTCGATTCAGGACCAATAATTCAAGCCTGAGCCAGAGTAGATCTATTCCTATGCACAATGATCAAAATTTTGTTTCAGTGCATTGTTTCGGTTACTTAAGAAACAGAAACGTTTTGGGGTTCCCAACACACTATTTTTTGTACCATTTTGATTGGTTTGGATGATTAGAAGATGCGTAAGTTTTACTTTCTACCTATTATGCATTTTGTCCAAACTCAATTCAGGGCGAGTAATTCAAGGCTGAGCCAGAGTAGATCTGTTCCTATGTACAATGATCAAAATTTCGTTTCAGTGCATTATTTCAGTCACTTAAGAAACGTAAACGTTTTGGCGTGTGTCGAAAACGTTTCGAGTCTTTTGACCCATTTCAAAAACATAATGAAAAAAAATTTAAAATTAATTTTTTAAAATATTGGTCGAAATAGACTAAAATATTTTGAAATTTCTTGAAACATTTTGAAATAATTTTACAAATATATTGAAATATAACAAAACATTTTAAAACATTATGGAACACCTCGAAATATTAAAATTTTGATTATATCATTGATTCGTTTTGGTTTCCTTGGAAACAGAAACGGAAATATTTCGATTGTTTTGAAACGATATTTTGATATTTTGATCCTTGTCTATGCATGTTTTTTTTAACTTAATCTTTAAGAAATTTTCTTGTTTTGTGATCTAATTTCGTTTTGATGGTTCGTTCGCTTCTGTTATTATGTTCTTACCAGTATGCTGGCAGTGTATATATTCATAAAGCATGCTTTGTGAATGTGTAGGTAATGGAGTTGAGACTGCCTTCTCTCAGACCTCGCTATAGACGAGAAGCATTGTGCACTGGTTACTCTTTATATGAATTTTTAGGAGTCAATTTTTGGGTCACAATACATTCAAGATCGTCATCAATGGAGATATATAACCATAGTATGTGAGTCTTTTTGTCAATCTTTTGAATGATGGAATAACATGTAACACGAAATCGTATGGAACAGTTGAGAGAAAAAGAAAAAGTGAAAATCAGAAATTTCCAAAACAAAAATTGTCTAATAATCAGGTAAATCAAAACATTCCATGTCTCTCTCTCTCTCTCTCTCTCACACACACACACACACACACAAAGAGAGAGAGTTGCGGGAAGTCCTAGTGCAATAACTAGTTACAATTACAAAAAAGATAGGATCACAGGAGAACCAAAAACAACAGGTGCATGGAACAGCAAGTATTCTCTCTCTTCATGAAGCTCGGGAAAAAAACAGGCCAACACTCAAAAGAGAGAGTATCCCAAGTCATCTACATCACCAGAAGGAGAAACTATAGAGGAGCAAGTTGCTGAAGAAGTGACTGAAGGCATCAACTCGGAGCTCGGGTTATTGACGGTGGGGTGCATGGGATAAAGAGTTCCCATGCATCCATCTTCCACCATCATAGGATTGTTGATCATGGCAGAGAGTTCCCAGGAATTTAGCTCCCATGGCTGCTCACCCCAATATCCATTGTAAATTTCATCGTAGCTTGAAAAATTTGTAGGGTTTGATGCCATTGTTGCTACACTAGTAGCTTCTGCAGGAGGTGCATTACCATGACAATTTGATTGAATTTCAGGAAAACTCGAATTGGAGGCAAAGTTTTGATCATTCGTAGTATTGGCATTGATGCTTGTGAAGTTCATAGTAGTGGTATTAGGAAGAGGCTGCAAGCAGTTCTCAACTATGCACCCCAAGTAGCCTGAGTTGGTGTCATTTGAGAAAAAAAAGTTTTCATTAGGTGATGAACCATATGAAGACTGAGAACTGTTGTCATTATCGGATTGGATGGAAGTATCACCATTGTAACGAATATTTATTCCACTATGAGGCATGTCAGGCTGATATGAACTGGTCTGATTAGTGGGGTTTTCAGTCTGAGTGCCCGTGATCATGAACTGTGATGGCTGCAAGAGGGTTTGCATATCAAAAGGAGTGAGAAGAGAGTGGAAAGTTGTGTTGTCAGAGTATATGAAGTTGGTTCTTGCTTGGGTGCCTTTCATAGAAAGGGCAGCCCTATCATAGGCAAGAGCTGCTTCTTGAGCAGTGTCAAATGTCCCAAGCCAATGCCTCTCTTTGGTTGTGGGGTCTCTGATCTCAGCAGCATATCGACCCCATGGGCGACGCCTCACCCCAAGGAACCTGCCTGGCTCGGCTTGCTTTCGCCGGCCTCTTCTCTCAGTAGGTTGAGATGGGGAGGTGTTTCTTTGCAATGAAGAAAAAGTTGTTTCAGTCTGGCTAATTTCAGAGCCTGTGAAGGGTTTATCTGAGGTTTTAGAGGTGGACATTGCTGCAGATAATAAAGAAAATTTGGCTAAATGTGTTATAAGTGTTGAAAGGAGAGATACTATCTTAGAGAGTAATGGGCAGGCTTGTGGGAGAATAAGAGGAGACAACTGAAACTCTTTTGAGTTTGAATGTGTGTGTGGAAGCTGGAGGGGAGCTGTTTTAAAGGCTCTGATTCTGTTTGAAAGACTGTCTTGAGCATGGAAAGAGAGGGAAAAGGACACTGCACATGTCATTCATTGAAAGACCATCTATCTTTTTGTCAATATTTATATATTCATGTGTTCTTTATTCTATTTATTATAAGCTAATCCATGCCTTTTTTTTTCTTCAATTTATTATACCCCCAAATAAAATTATTATGAGCTTGAAGGTGAAAATTAATAAAGATTTCCTAGTTGGAGATTCCATAACTATATTATACTCTTTTGAGTTCTTGTTACATTGCAACAGTCACTCTCTTCCTAGTTTCAGTAAATGTTGAATATGTGATGTTTCAAGAAATTTACTAGTGAATGGAATTCAGTTGAATCACTATCTCAGCTCATACAGATTTCACTACCTGTTACTTTTATAATTGTTATATAAAGATGTTTATTGTATTACAAGACTGATTAGAGAAGTGACAAGTTTTTCGGGTTAGTTAATAATCGACAGAATTTACTTTGCCGCTAGAATAAGTTACAGAAGTAGCAACATTAGATTAGATCTTAGTTTTAGTAGTCAAGTAAGAATGCTGGAGATCAAAGATGAACAGTATGAATCAGCTAGAATGCCCCTTCGATCAGGGAGAAAAAAAATGATTGAATGAATGGTTGGTAGGAAGAAAGCTTTGAACAGTAGGATTAAACCTCAAAAGGGCAATGACAGCACAAGTTTTTTGTCAGCATAGTCCTAGAGAGTCTAAAACATTTGAATTTTAAATGCATATTAATGTCTGATATGCACATGTATATCCTCTTTCTGTGCAAAATACATCAGCTAATTTTCTTTCAAGTTCTTTGTCTCCTTCATGATTTTCAAAGGGAGTAGGTTAAAATTTATCTCTAACTTGCCTGATTAATCTAAGTGACTAAAGATATTCTAGTACAAATCCTAGTTGACCTGTGTAATGCAAACAACATGGTATCAGATTTCCAAGAGAACAGAGACACTTCATTAAGTACCCATTAAGTCAAAGTTTTAGCTATGTTTGTTTGTCAGCAATATAGGCTTCTCACTTCTTTTTTCATCCCAATAGTCTAATACAAGAATATACATACACACACACACAATTGCATATATTTTGGTGCATGTTAGTCATATATTACCTATTCTTCAGTTATGAATGAAACATGAACATGAACATATACAGTTACAAAAGTAGAAACAGGGCATGGCTACTAAAAGTTTTGGAGAAGGATTGATCTGAAAATAACCATGTGGGCATTTCTACAACCTGGTTAAGTGAAGAATGCTCTTTGTGCAATACCACCTTTGCATGCGAGAGTAAGACTGTATATATTTGACACTCTTCTTAAAGTCCGCAACAACAAGAGCCTCGTGAGCTTCTCTTTTCAAAAAAAAATGAGTAATTTACATAAAAGAATAAATAAAACAGATTAATATTAAACAGAGTCATTGGTCTCTTGTCTATCCAAAAGAATCATAAAAAGGCTATAGTCAAAAGGGCAATCAAAAGTTATAAGAAAGCACATGCAAAGCAGTAAGGATCAAACTGCCCAAACAAAAACACCAAGTGAAGTGGGGGCACTAATCCAATAAATTAGCACTTCTAACAGGACACTTATATATATATATATATATATATATATATATATATCCCTCTTTTGATTACTTGCATAAATGGCATTGGGAACAACGGCATTCAGAAAATCATAATCAAATGGGTCAAATAAATCTCTTTTCTTTTCTTTATCATTCCTAGATTCTATAATGGTTGCCACTGTCCTCTAATGTTCTATCCCAATGGCATATATGTATACTAGCAGTACTTTGTGCCAGAAAATACTATGCAATACCTAAAATCAAATATTAATTCTAAAATATTTAAATAGTAATTTTTTAATTACTCAATTTAAAATTAATATGAAGAGAGAGAAAAGAGGGTAGGTGTAGAATGATGAGATTGTTTGGCACCATAGAATGTGTTGATGTATTGATTTAGTTGTCTGGCATTGAGGACCGTGTAGAGAAGATGATGTTTTTGAGCGAATTTTTTTTTTTTGAAATCATTAGATTAAAGTAGATAAAGATCAGATCAATCTTAACCATTGTTGTGCTTTTATAAGTTGAGAATTCAACTTCCTAACTGTAATATTAAATAAGCGTTATGAATTTATAAAATTGACAAAAAAACAAATATAAAAATGGTAGACAAAAATGAGAGACAGGAAAGATTACAAGGATTAAAACATAATAAAGCTATTAATAGAATAATAATAATAATAGGCTGTCATCTTTTCTTTTGAACATGACCAAGAAAATCTATGACCCTTGACTCTTCCACTAAAAATTTTCAATATCCATTTGACCCAACCTTCTCTAATTAACAATGATGTTATTTCGGAAACCACAGCTAAAAAGAATATGAGACATCGAAAGGAGGATAAGAGACTATGGTATTGTGAAGACTTAGAAAAAATTTTCGACCCGATGCCAAAAAAATGTCATTTCAATTTCGTAATCGGACCCTTAAAAAGTATGTCGGTATATGTAGGAAGTGATGGTTGAAAATGTGGAATATGTCCTTCTTTGTATGGAAGGTTTGTCCTAGGCAATTGAAAAAGGATGTGAAGAACCAGTCAAGCCTGGTATGAAAAGAAGTGAGCCACTTGGGTCATGGTATGAAAAGAAGTGGGTACCTTGCCAAACTTCTCAATTGAAAATTTGAGTCTTAAAATTTATATTAAAGTTCAATAATTAATCGTTATATTAATCTATTTAAATTTATTTTTATGAGGAGTAACAAGCACACGGTTATGTGCCTCTTATAATCTCATCAATAAAGATCTATTAGGATGATCTTTATACACTCTCTTTTATCCTCACTCATGTTTTCAATAGAAGTGTACTTCTTAAAATGGATGGGTATGTTTGAAGTTAGTTAAATTAAAATGGGCAATTTGAGGTGGGGTGGGGTCTCTCTCTCTCTCTTTCTTTTTTTCTGTCTTTCTTGGGGTTTCTATCCTGACAAGAGAAACTTGTTTTTGGGTGAGATTGGAGTGGAGTCTCTGTCTCTGTCTCTCTCTTTCTTTTTTTCTTTCTTTCTTGGGGTTTCTATCCTGACAAGAGAAACTTGTTTTTGGGTGAGATTGGAATTACGCACAATCTCCAAAACATGCACACACTTTCATCAAGTATACAAGGTCGCCCAGAATTTAGGGAAAAAGATTGAAATGCTAAGGACTTAGGAATTGAGACTTGGACTTTGACGGACGAGAGAGAGAGAGAGAGAGAGAGTTATAGGAGCGGAGCCATTCAGTGCATTTCAATTTTTATTGCAAAAATAATTTCTATAAATATTTTGACGTATTTTTAAATATGTCCCCTCATAAAAGAAAAAAAAAATATTCATGCATCTTAATTCACTTAATCATCTCCTATATTTGGATTAAATTTCTACTCGTAATTTCGTAAACTTTTAGAATTGGTTTATTGAATCCTCTTGACAAGTTAATGACAAACCATTTTTGAAAAACATTATTAATTATATTGATAATGAGATTATTGTACAATATTTTTTTTTAAATACTGTAATCAAGTCCTTCAGTAATATACCAATAACGATGTAAATCTTATTTTAAATCTTATTTTATCTTCGTACCGATTAAAACTTTTTTAAATCTTATTTTGTCATAACTTTATATTATTTACATAATAACTTTTTCAAAATTGTATAATTTTGACATCGTAGACATTCTCTTTCTAGAGATTATATTGCTCGTCTTGTTAGATCGATCCAATCCCATTTTTTTCAAGAAGAGATGCACCTAATAGTGATATCATATACCAATAACGATGTAGAATCACGATTATCTTTAATATATATATTTTTTTGGAGGGTCTTTTTTTTTTTAATCACCTTCGTGTTTACTCAATAATTGCTGTTGAGAAAAAAGCCTGGTCTTGAGGAGGGTAAAAGGTGTCATGATTAAACTTTTTGAGACAAGTTTGATCATTTTTTCAGTCTCTACCAAGTGCTCATCAATAAGTTATAGATAAATATGTAGGAATAAAATTACAAAGTAATGGGCTCCTTACAACCACAGTTAAAGGTTTTTTTTTTAATCCCTCGATTTTTTTAAGTATTGTATCAAAAATTATAATTTTAAAAGTTGAATTATAACATTTTAAGGTGTAAGATAATGAAAGTTACAATCTATACAGTTGAAATTATAATTTTGAAAGATCNTGAATTATAACATTTTAAGGTGTAAGATAATGAAAGTTACAATCTATACAGTTGAAATTATAATTTTGAAAGATCAGGTTACAACTCATCAAAAAGAAGTTACAACTACTTTGATAGATTCATAGTTGAACAGAGTATTATCTGATCGATTATGAATTAATTCAAAATATTGTAACTTTATCTTTAAAAGATATAACTTGATTATTAAAAGTAATAACTTTCAGTATAATTTTAAATTTTTTAAAATAAATTACATCAATTAATTGTAATTTTCTATTAAAAAAATATAATTAAATTGTGATAACTTTTGGTATAATACTAATTTTTTTTCGGTATCATAGAATTAGCCAAGAGTACAAGGAAACACATATCCGAACCCTTAGGTGTGATTCAGTGATTGAATCTAGTATTTGATAATTCAGTTCTTTCTTACACCTCATGAACTTGAGGGAGTAGTCAGTTCAAATATAAACACCCTCTAACAAAAAAAGAAAAGGGTAAATCCTATTTTACCCTTTAAAAGATACAAAAAATTTTATAATGTTCTCAGAATAATTAATTTTTCCAAATTATTCCATCAAAGAAATAAAAATGTTCTAATTTAGTCCATCGTTTTATTTTTATTTGGTCGTCCGTCTATTTTGTGATTTTTGATTGGTTGATTTAACACAAAATAGACGAATAATTAAACGAAAATCAGACGATAGATCATATTATAACATTTTTATTTCTTTTAGAGGATAATATGAAAAAATTAACTGTTTAAAATACAAACTAAGAATTTTTATATCATTCAGGGCTAAAATGGGATTTTCTCAAAAAAGAAAAACACGTACCCGGATTCTGTGGCCAGCACAACTCCTTGTGTCAACCAAGCCCAGAAATACGGACGTACCATGCACAACGACTATCCAAACCACTGTGCCCAGACCCTTCCGAAGTGACACGTGGACACTGTTGCCAAGTAACAACATAGGATCGACACCCTTGAGTTGTCGTCCATTGGTTGGTCCATGTGGAAAGAGTACAGAGATTTGGAGTAACCTATAGTGCATTACAGTAGAGTACGGGTTACGTGTCAAGCAGANCGGGTTACAACTCATCAAAAAGAAGTTACAACTACTTGATAGATTCATAGTTGAACAGAGTATTATTTGATCGATTATGAATTAATTCAAAATATTGTAATTTTATCTTTAAAAGATATAACTTGATTATTAAAAGTAATAACTTTCAGTATAATTTTAAAATTTTTAAAATAAATTACATCAATTAATTGTAATTTTCTATTAAAAAAATATAATTAAATTGTGATAACTTTTGGTATAATACTAATTTTTTTTCGGTATCATAGAATTAGCCAAGAGTACAAGGAAACACATATCCGAACCCTTAGGTGTGATTCAGTGATTGAATCTAGTATTTGATAATTCAGTTCTTTCTTACACCTCATGAACTTGAGGGAGTAGTCAGTTCAAANCAAACCCTTACGTGTGATTCAGTGATTGAGTCTAGTATTTGATAATTCAGTTCTTTCTTACACCTCATGAGGGAATAGTTAGTTCAAGTATAAACACCCTCTAACAAAAAAAGAAAAGGGTAAATCCTATTTTACCCTTTAAAAGATACAAAAAATTTTATAATGTTCTCAGAATAATTAATTTTTCCAAATTATTCCATCAAAGAAATAAAAATGTTCTAATTTAGTCCATCGTTTTATTTTTATTTGGTTGTCCGTCTATTTTGTGATTTTTGATTGGTTGATTTAACACAAAATAGACGAATAATTAAACAAAAATCAGACGATAGATCACATTATAACATTTTTATTTCTTTTAGAGGATAATATGAAAAAATTAACTGTTTAAAATACAAACTAAGAATTTTTATATCATTCAGGGCTAAAATGGGATTTTCTCAAAAAAGAAAAACACGTACCCGGATTCTGTGGCCAGCACAACTCCTTGTGTCAACCAAGCCCAGAAATACGGACGTACCATGCACAACGACTATCCAAACCACTGTGCCCAGACCCTTCCGAAGTGACACGTGGACACTGTTGCCAAGTAACAACATAGGATCGACACCCTTGAGTTGTCGTCCATTGGTTGGTCCATGTGGAAAGAGTACAGAGATTTGGAGTAACCTATAGTGCATTACAGTAGAGTACGGGTTACGTGTCAAGCAGATAGAGTGACACGTCAATGGCACGGATAATTGATACGAGGTAAGATGTAGGGTCAGGATTTGCTGTCATGGTGGAATGTTAGAGTAGCGCCAAACAGTAAAAGCGAATCTTTAACGTGGGCTTGAGAAATATATGGACGGCTGAGATCTGTTTGGGGTTCAGAAATATGTACCCGTTGCTGAGATCTTGAAAGACACATGTCCTTTACCCATATCTCTCTCTCTCTTTCTCTCTCACACACATACATGTTGGGTCTAACCCTTAAATCATGTCGGCATAATCATCTAATAAGAAAAAAATAATAATAATAAAATTACACTCATTTTTTATTACAATAAAAAAAAATTTTACTTGACAAAATTTAAGTCATGTTATATAAAAATTTATTCAATTTACATCCGATATATTTTATAATTAGGGTGTCCCGTGCAAAGTATGCGCCCTTTTTTATTTTTTAATATGCTAGCAATGTATCATGTGCATTGCAAGTGAATAATTTTTTTAAAAAATATTAATAAATAAATATTGATATATGTGTACTTAAATTAAAGATTATCTCAAATTTACCAAACTTATTCTTTCATCTCTCATGTTCCACTATAAAATTTTTAAAAACTTTGTATATTTTCAAGAATTATTGTTCTAATTTTAAGAAAAATAAAAAAAAATAATTAAAGTTCTATTTTATTTCTGTAATTTTTTAATTGAAAGTATTTTTTAGCTATGCTTGAAATTTAAATTTTTTAAAATTAATTTGATTAAGATTCCACTTATAAATTATTGAATAAAATAAAAATAATTATCAATATACCAATCGTAATAGAACTTACTACATTTAGGATTAGTTAGGTCAATTAAGATAAAATTTAATATACAATGCTATAATATATATTATAAATCATATTAAAGTTTTAAAAAAAATTCAAGTTTTCACGTAAAATATTAACGCAGTTTAAAAAGTTTACTGTGACTAAAAAATCATGTAAAATTAAATATACATTATTTTTTATCTTAAAAATGAAATGATTAAATATTTTGATGAAAAATAAAATATAGATATGTAGTCATAAATATTATCTTTATAAATGAGATAAGTAATATTATATTGATGGAGTTTTTAAAGATTTTTTTGAATATTTTGTTAAAACGAAAAATAATATATATATTTTTTAATAATAATATAATCAATAAAAAAATTTCATAAAAATTAACATTTATAAATAGAGAATAGATAATTAGAAAATTAATTTGATTAAGATTTCACTTATAAATTATTGAATAAAATAAAAATAATTATCAATATACCAATCATTTTAGAATCTTATTTTATTTAGGATTATCTAGGTTTATTAGAATAATTTAATTTACAATGCTATAATAAATATTATAAAGCATATTAAATATTTTTAAAAAAATTGAGTTTTCACATAAAATCTTAATACAGTCTGAAAAGTTTATTGTGACTAAAAAATTATATAAAACTATATATACATTATTTTTTACCTTAAAAATGAAAAGGTTAAATATTTTGAAAAAAAATAAAATATAAATATGTAGTCATAAAATTATCTTTATAAATAAGGCAAATAATATTATATTGATGAAATTTTTGAAAACTTTTTTGAATATTTGTTAACATTTATAATGATGCACATATTTTTTAAGAATAATATAATCAATCAAACAGTTTTATAAAAATTGACATTTATACATAGAGATATATAATTAAAAGTGATGTTATATGTAATTTGAAGATTTAAATACATAAGGATATGATGGTAATTTAAATGTTAAATGTGAAAGGATAGAGTGACATTTTTAATTTTTATGAGGGTAAAATAATAAATCAAAAGATTTTTATGTTAAGGTATTTTTATTAGTAGTATAGAATAGATATAAGTTGAATTAGTGTATTTAAAATGCTAAAATATAAATTGTAATATAAATCGTCAAATTTGGGCCATTTTTGTATTTTATCTAAGCAAGACTATGTGTAATATTATATAAATTGTGTATGAGAGAATTTGTATCGTGTTTAACGAGTTATTGTCGTATTTAGCCTGACTCAGATCGACTCATTTCTTTGATAGCTCTAACAGATCCATCCGAATCCAGTAAAGCCCATCAAGTCATTTTGGGTTTTATCAAGGCCCATTTTCATTGCAAAGGTCTGTACAGCTTGGAAAGCTGCAAACCCTTGATAACTCTGCTGGGCTTTTACTTAGCTTAAGGTTCCACAAACAGGCCGTGACCGGTGGTGGACTGACCAGTTAGCCCCACTGATCATGGGTTGTCCGCCCCGTAGATTGCCAACCCTGGATTGGTCTATAGTCTAACAAATAGTTCCATGGGCTAAAATTTTTTAAAATAATGGCCCATCAGGCAATCCCAATGGATAGAATCCTTAAAAAGGCCATCATGACTGACCGCTATATAGACCGTGGATAATAATTTTTTTAGCCCACGGCCTACTGCAAAATCCTAGCTTGCTCCCAAGCTTGCTGTCAGCTCTATGCAAAAAGAGATAGTAGATCAGTTCATATTTGGTCACCGAAAGCACATTGGGGGTGCATAATTTCTCCCAATCGGACTGCAGGTCCATCCAAGTTGGTTAATGATTCCTTATGTGACACTAGATGTGTCAGGTTCATTAGTAGTAAAAATAAGATTTCGTTAATCAAATAATGGCTAAGCCTATCATGTACAACTCACAGGAGGCGGCAACGGTCTGTGAATTTATACATAAACCCATGGCAGAAGTACTTTCAACTCATATGTTTCAATTTATGATAAAAAACTGAACGATAGTTTGGCCAAGGTCCATATTGCTACCAATTTATAACATTAAGGGTACAAATTGAGAATCGAAACATCTTTGAGGGTGGTGTAAAGTGACATTAGCCCAAAGAAAATCCAGTATCAATTCTCAGCAATTTGATGATCAAATTGTGACAGACAGAACCATGAAGGAAAACAAAGAGAGTTCTTATTGGGAAATTAAGGAATAAAAAATCCTTGACATGTTATGATCCTAACACCTATGAAGCACATCTACCAGAGTACAACTGAGACAGACCATCTAGATGGATATAATTTTGTGATCATCTTCAAGCTATATCGGTTCATCACGGGTCATAAAAACAACAGTTACTTACATTAGTTGTTGAAGATTTGTACTCAACAGTCCCATGCCACCTTTCGTGAACAGGTATGCCCGAGGATGAATGAATTGTGATACAACACCGAATAAGCCACTTCTCTATTCCCGACTCAATACAACATTAAACCTCCAGTTCTTGTAGTTGCTGTAGAATGCTTTGACCAACCTCCAGATCATTCTCTCACTCCAAAAAAATGGAAGTATCCCAATACAATCTGCAAGATTGTCAAGCACTGCACATTTATTCCGAGCTGTAAAGTTTCACATTGTGAGATTTTGGTCAAGGGGGAAGGGATTAACAACTTCAAATGTTGAAGTAAATACAGTTAAGAATGGAACAGAAGTAGTGACTTCAGAAGTGAACCGAAAAAAATATCTTAAATAGCAAAATTAAATTGTCAAAATTAGGTAGAGGTACTTATGACACAGTGTCGTGCCAAGAAATATTTATTATCATGGTTGTATATTTTCGCCTCTGCTTTTCTAACAAGGTATCATAGAAGGACCAAAATGACTTGGTTATACCTTCCATAATTAGTAGCAGGCCAATATGCATGATTAGCATCAGAATAACAGAGCCGAATCATGTCTCTGAGGTCATTTAATTGAATCTACTGACCACTTCCTTAATTTTGATGTTTTGGAATTGTCCGAAGCATCGTGCCACACCATCTCCATCTGGAAGGAAACAGAGAAACAAGTAGTCATCCAAGGTTTGTCATTCATAGTAATCAAAGTACAACATAGAATTATGCATGCATAACAAAAACTACAATGGTCGCAACTATGATGATATTTCACGTAAATTTTTCTTCTTTGGAAAATGGGAAGGTAAAGAAATTTTTCCATGATCCATCATGATGGAAGAGGACTGTGATTAAACTACATGTCACATTTCCAAACAAATTGATAACCTTGACCATGCACTTAAACAGAGAGATAAAACAGACCCTTTGTTGTGATATTACATAACACAGAAATTATACAAAAGAAAATGCCCCCCATGGGAGAGAAGGAAGAAGAACAAAGTTAGATAAACATACCTCCCCAACAATCACAGTGTCGCCCTCCTTTACACCAAGTTTGATAAGAGATTTATATACACCACAAGCCTCCAAAACATGTTGAAATCTTCTCTCAGAATCCATATATCTGCTCCAAAACCAGAAAAGATAAAGTTGCTGGAATGACAAGATTTGAATTTTTCTATGTAGCAGTAAAATTAAGAGCATCAATTTTGTCTAGACAAGGAAAATATCTTCTGAAAACAGCATCCAGATATGTTTGAAGATGAAAACCCACATTTTTTGGTTTCAAACCAACTTTCTCATGAAATGTATGTCCAAACCCAGTGTTCAAAACAAGATGATCTAATAAACATTGGTTTAGACAAAGGCCCTAGGTTCAAAATTTGGTTTTGTCATTTCATACATGAGGAAGATGCTCTACAATTGAACTCCCACTTTGCAGGGACACAATTCTTAAAAATGAGAAAAAACTGGGCAAGAGACAATGACAGCAGGGAAAATGTAGATACTAGCAACACAAAATAATTTACAACCTCCAATTTGTCATTTGGACAAAACGTTGCAACCCTGCTCCATCCACATGCCACGTATTGGAAGCACTGTCATGAGAAATTTCAAACTCATTTATAGGAGCAGTTTGCTGCTTCCGCATCATATCAGCAACATGGTTCAAATTTGATGGACCATTCCAACCTGAATCAAAAGAAGTGGTCAACATTGTACAGGCATAGAAGAATTAGAAGAAATACAATGCCTGCATGTGGAAATTGGAAAAACTACATCNGGTGGACCATTCCAACCTGAATCAAAAGAAGTGGTCAACATTGTACAGGAATAGAAGAATTAGAAGAAATACAATGCCTGCATGTGGAAATTGGAAAAACTACATCGGAAAAGGCGGAAAAAAATCATACATTAAATTATTGAATGAAACATCCAAAAAAATACAGGAGCTCTTCCTATGACAGTGTCATTTTACATTCCACTTTGTGAAGCAAAGTGATCAAATCACACTTNAACATCCAAAAAAATACAGGAGCTCTTCGTATGACAGTGTCATTTTACATTCCACTTTGTGAAGCAAAGTGATCAAATCACACTTACAAGTTACAAATATTTGCATGGAGCACATACAGGCACCTAAAACTACAGTCTTTTTGTTGAGTAAGAAGTTTTTGGGATTGAACCTACTATACAGAGTACAAATGACACTCTATCTTTGATGCACCATGCAAGACTTCTAAGTTCCAGTAATTTATACCAGTAGTACTGTTCTCAGAAAATCTAGGACAGCACTAGCAGGAACACTTTCTTCATCCAGGTAATATCGCCAACAAGTCAGTTTTTCTCATTTGATTCCGCAATTGTAGAACATCACCAAGGAAGCAAATTAGGATCATTGCCTCAGTACAGGGCAGATAAGCCCAAAGTGATACTCACATAAACAATCTAATTTCCTAAAAGAAAATGAGCTCTCCATGGCCCAAACATGTACTTTTCTTTTCTGTATTTTGGATAAGCACATAGAAATATATTTTTACAGGGTACATGCATGATGCATGCACACACATACAGGCACATATGCAGGCATCCATATAGCAACATACATATTGAAGACAAATACAAAAACAATAATAAGTTTGCACTGAGAAATCCAAACAATATCTTACTCTCTTCTTTCTTGGTTTCTAATCTTTCCCGAACAAGTTCATAAGCAGCACAGATTACTTCCTGCGTCCCCTCTCTCTTCACAGCACTCATGCAAAAAGGTTCAATCCCACGAATATGTAGTCTTTCCTTGAATGATACCCAATTTTCATATGCCTCTGGAAGATCCATTTTATTGTATGCTACTAAATAAGGCTTTTCAGCAAGATCAGGATTAAACATTTCCAGCTCAAGGCGAACCGCATCAAATTCATATTCTGGTTGCTGTGACGAACCATCAACAACATGTACCTAAGCCTCCATTTATAATGTTTCCATTAGTTCCTATTCAGAAAAAATATTGGCACAAGTACCGAAACAAAAAGGTAGAAAGAAACAAAAATCTAAAGGCAATATTGCATAGTCATAAAATTATGAAGAAAAACGCCAAGAGCAATTACATGAAAGGTAACTTATACGGCATAAAAGAATTAGTAGTATCCCCCTTTGTCAGTACTTTACTGACAAATAGAGCAATTAAACAATGACAATATAATAAAATGAGATATTGGGCGCACTTAGAAATGCTTTTAAAGTTTTACATCTTGCCATGCTTCGCAGCATGAAGTAATATTAGCAGCCCCATCAAGGGCTAAAATGGTTTATCAATAAAGCAAAAGAAAAGGCACAGAAATGCATGCCACCACAAGAAGAATTAACTTGGCCAGATCAAGGGGAGGTCCTCCATGCTGACAAAAAGGGGAGAGGGGGGANGAAAAAGAAAAGGCACAGAAATGCATGCCACCACAAGAAGAAGAAACTTGGCCAGATCAAGGGGAGGTCCTCCATGCTGACAAAAAGGGGAGAGGGGGGAGGTCCTCAATTGAGCCTAATTATTCTAGGAAAAACTACAAGCGGAGCACCTAAATGAAACATTGAATACCCAACTAAAAGTTCATTTAAGAATCTTCGATGCAGGCAAAGGCTACCTGTGTTCAAATGGTAGTTTAATACAGTTCATTTACAAGTAACAACTTATGATAGCACACCCCAGTTTGAGTCAGTGATGCATCAACTTCAGAATAAGACTATTGGTGCTAGAACCTGCCAAAGGAAAGCCTGGAGGATCTAATTCTACATTGAGAAATGATGAGAATACATGCTGTCATCAGATGATTTCTAAGGTTCACAAAATGATATAGAATGAAAAATCCAAAAGATAAGAAACTAAAAACATACAAATATCACAACTTTCTTTTGCTATCACTACCATGTCAAAACTTATAAATCTAAATTCTTAATAACTCAGAATGAAAGCAGCTGCAGTTATTAAAGTTTATACCAGAACTGAACATCTTTCTGTGTGCCGAAGAAACTCATGGCCTAAACCAAAACCTCGGTGTGCTCCTTCAAGTAGACCTGGTAGATCAGCAACGACCATTGTAGCATCATAATCAAATGAAACTACACCCAGATTTGGAAGTAAAGTTGTAAAGGGATAATTTGCAATAGTTGGCTGAGCAGCACTAACGACACTGAGAAATGTGCTCTTCCCTGCATTCGGAGCACCAATTATTCCAACATCTGCAACCAGCTTTAGCTCTAACTCCAGCCACCTGTCCAATAAAACCAGTACTTTAACATAACTACCAAAAAAGGGGTCATACGTCAATATCTACCACCCATCGTCTTGGGACAAATTGTTCATGCAAGGTCACAGATTTAAATAATCCAACCACCATTAATGAACTCAAAGTAAGCCCATGCAAGGATATCTAAAATCTTGCTCTTGTTCAAATTCAGATAATGCTCTGAAAAATTGGTATGAAAAAAGTCATTGCAATTCAATGAAAAACTTCCCATGTATGTGTTTTATTTCAGAAAAGGTACGATGATCTAAATAAAATGTCACACCCACCAATTCTGCCCAAGTCAGGGACAGGTAATGATGGAAGAACTCTGATCAAGCAAAGAACCTTGCATGCCATATAGTATTCTGTATGATCTTATAAAGCCATTATAACTCAAATAATCTATGAACCACAATTACTGCATGAAAAAAATTACAATCGAAACAAGAAATTCTCACATTTCTAGACCTTCTTCTCCATTCTCAGCAATCTTTGGCACCTTATTTGTCCCCGACTTGAATGATGCATTCCCTCTCCCACCTCTTCCACCCGGCAACAACAACGCCCTTTGCCCCGGATGCAACAATTCCAAAAGCTCATTCCCTTCAACACCATCCTTGCCAGCCTCCCTTATCACCGTCCCTGGTGGCACCTTCACTACCACATCCTCCCCCTTGGCCCCATTCTGCTTCCTCCCCTGCCCATGTGCCCCCCTCCCCGCCCTAAAATGCACACTTTGCCTGAAGGGCAACAACGAATTCATCGATTCATCAACCTCCACATAAACATTTCCTCCCCTTCCTCCGTCTCCACCGGACGGCCCGCCCAGCGGCACATATTTCTCTCTCCGAAACGCCACCACCCCATTCCCACCATCCCCTGCTTTGACGTATATTTTTGCCCGGTCAAAACATCTCATCACCGCCGGCACTCCTTTTTGCTTCTCTTTGTCCTCCTCCTCCTCCTCCTCCCCTTCTTCCTCAAACCCCTTATTTTCAAACTCCTCATCCCTAAACCCCAACATTTCATCATTATTATGCTCGTCACCCAAATCATCGTCACTTCCATAATCAGAATCTGAATTTATTTCAAACAACTCAAAATTTCCATAATCAAACGCTAATTTTCCGTCGATTTCTTCATCTTCACTCCTCAATCGATCATTTTCGAGTTCATTTTTCGCTTTAGACACATTTTTATTGGGGGTTTGTGTGATGGTGGAGTCGGAGAGCTTGACTTCCGCCGGAGATTGGAATGTAGAATCGAAGGGAGAATCTACAAAGTCGTCTTTGGGAGGGAGACGAGTAAAGGTGGTGGCTTCGCCGCCGGAGGTGGAGGATAAAGGCAGGTTGCGAGAGGTTGTACGAGTTTTGTGCTCATAATTAGGATTCTTACGGAGATTTCTGGGTGGTATCGCTTTGTTTTGACGGTTTCGAGTTTGATTGTTGCTGGGTCGAGCTAGAGAATATGGAGAGAAGTATATAGAGAGAGGGGACGCCATTGTTGGAGCTCAGTTCTGTGCAGTGATGAATGGTACAGTCATGGCGGGGAGAGAGACAGAGAGAATGGTGGCGGGATACTTAGTTTGAGAGGAGAGGAGAGGAGAGGATAACGGGCCACGTGTCATTACCTGCTGTTTGGTTTGGGGGAAAAGGGAAGATAAAATAGGGAAGACGGTGGAAAACTTTCTAAAACTCTTACCATTTTCTCTTCTACCCAAACAAGAGAAAAGAGAAAAATCGAAAATTTTCATCTTCGTTTCTCTATTTTTTCCCTTTGAATAAAATTGTCTAGCTCCTTCTTTCTCCACTATCCTTGCAAACAAACAAAAAATGCAAACAAATTTTGGTACAGTGTGAAGACAGACAATGTTATGAAAGGCCATGCAATGTTCTAAGCTGAACTGATTGTTGTAAAAAAGCTTCTAGTTCTTGTAATTTTCTCTACTCTTCAGGTATTTACTGCTAATCTTGTACTTCTTTATTGTTATTTCTGGGTTAGAACTATTGCTTAGTGATATTCCCCATCTATCACTACTGNAGTGTGAAGACAGACAATGTTATGAAAGGCCATGCAATGTTCTATGCTGAACTGATTGTTGTAAAAAAGCTTCTAGTTCTTGTAATTTTCTCTACTCTTCAGGTATTTACTGCTAATCTTGTACTTCTTTATTGTTATTTCTGGGTTAGAACTATTGCTTAGTGATATTCCCCATCTATCACTACTGTCTATTTGGGTGTTAATTATGCAGATATGGATTCTGTGCCCTATGATTATAGACACACACACACACACACATATATATATGCACGCATATTAGACAGTTTTCAAAGTTATTATTTTTATGGATCAAATTACTAAATGAAATCAAAGTTATGAAAGAAAAGTAAAAGTCAATAGTAAATACGAGAATCGACAAACAACCCATTTGTGGTAATAGTTATAATCCTTATCGTTATACTNGCTTATTTGGGTGTTAATTATGCAGGTATGGATTCTGTGCCCTATGATTATAGACACACACACACATATATTTATATGCACGCATATTAGACAGTTTTCAAAGTTATTATTTTTATGGATCAAATTACTAAATGAAATCAAAGTTATGAAAGAAAAGTAAAAGTCAATAGTAAATACGAGAATCGACAAACAACCCATTTGTAGTAATAGTTATAATCTTTATCGTTATACTTTCATCGATATTTATTGTGAAATAATTTATACCCATATGTAAGATTGTGAAATAATTTATACCCATATATGTGTGTGTGTGTGAGAGAGAGAGAGAGGGTTATTTGTGCAATTTGGTTTGCCCCCACCAGGTTTACAATCGGTTGGTGACGGTGGAATCAGAATGCTAACATTNGTGAGAGAGAGAGAGAGGGTTATTTGTGCAATTTGGGTTGCCCCCACCAGGTTTACAATCGGTTGGTGACGGTGGAATCAGAATGCTAACATTCATTTAATGGTTACACTGATATGACAAGAAGAAAGTGAGATTAGTAGAGTACCCTAAAAGATTGAAATCTTTGAGGACCCATAACCTATATTGGTCTAGATTTAGTTGGTGAAAGAGGGAACATGGAATCTTGTGGGGGCTGACTGAAGCAGCTGCAAGAGAATTTTTTTTTAACTTTTCCACCACATAGAAACAAGGGAATTTGATCATAGCACAGAGATATGAACATAGAAACAGCCTGTAAGAAGGATTTAACTTAAAACCCCCCCCACTCCAAAAAAAAAAGAAAAAAGAATTTTTTTTTGAAAGTGTGGGGGCAAAATTCTGAACTTGATGCTAGTACTTTTCCAGGATGGTGATTAGGTCTTTTTGAATTGTGTCAATTCTTCTCCCTCCTCCTCATTTTTGTTCTTTTTATTTTGGGGGTGGGGGATATGTGTAGTGAATGGAATACGATACTCCAANATTAGGTCTTTTTGAATTGTGTCAATTCTTCTCCCTCCTCCTCATTTTTGTTCTTTTTATTTTGGGGGTGGGGGATATGTGTAGTGAATGGAATAGCTATGAGGTTAATCGGTTGTGGTTTATTAACCCTAATTCTAAACAACTCAATTCTTGAGATTTAGTGAACTCACCCCCGAATGTTCATTTTATGCATGTTTTACTTGGTCAAGGCGTTGTTATGCTGTTTATTTCTCACATTGGTTTTCCTTGCAGGCCGCTGAGGCACAACATTGAAGCTGGTAACCAAAAATATTGCAGCCACAGTCTTGGCAGTAATAGAACACTTGAGTCATAGGAATGGTAACTTCTTCCATCCTTCTCTGTAACTTTTCTCTTGAATGCATGGATTTTTGGCACACAATCAAGAAATTAACAAAATCACACGCATATTCGTTGTTGTAGAAATTTCTACCTTTCAGTTTTTTGGCATGCTACTAAGAACAATTGATCCATTCTCAGAAAAAAGTTAACACACATATCTATGAGTGTTTCTATCCTCATTGCCCCCACTTATTTTTAAGATTTAGGTGTCATATGTTTAGTTCTTTAAAGTTTGTGGAGAAACTCAAATTTTGATAAATAGCGACTTCTCGCTTTTCTACTAGGAAAGAGATGAAGAGTTCAGTTTCTCCAAGGGATAGAAATCTGATATGACTCTCTAACTTGCATTTTGATTAAAAGGTGAAGGTGATGGGCTCTTTTGTGATTATATGCAAAACTAGCTAGATTTTCACCCATTAGTTCTGTTCGAGCATGATGCTATTTACACTTTATTTCGGGTTCTCTCTCTTACTTCTTTCTCTACTGTGACTATAGTCTATATCCAAAGAACAACAGATCAGATATAAAATGTACATTAAAGAGCAACAGATCAGATAAAAATGTACATTAAAGAACAACAGATCAGATGAATGTACATTATCAAGCAACAGCATGCAATTCAGGACTGGAAGTTATTAAATGTTTCCAAGTTGTCCTTCTTTGATCAAGACTAGCATTTTGCATCATTTGAGGGGGGAAAAAAAGAATGAGAGAGAATTTAAGTTAATATACATCAAATGGAGCTTTCCCTTTTTTCTTCCAACAAAAAATTCGGAAGAAGGTAAAAAAAAGAGAAGATCACACCGGAGCTAGTCACCGGCTGCTTAGCGCCGGTGCAAAAATAATCTTAAATAACATCCATAAGTTTCAGTACCTCCTCAATTTCCTTATTATGCAAACAATTGGCTTCCCAGTGTAACGGTTGCAGTACCTCCTTCGCCCATGACTGTTGTGAGCATGATCTCTTTTTCAAGTATCCGATCAAGCTCTATGGTGATCATTTCCATGTTTGGTCTCCCTCTTCCTGGAAACCTCGTGCATCGTAGCATCAGCCTGATAAAATCTTCCATCGCCTCTTCAGTAAAGCTCCCAACTAATCGATTGTCCACTAAGTTATTTGAACTCAAATGTGTTTCAACCTTCATAAAGTGGAACAAAGCAAGTAAGCTACAATATTAACTGGCCTCTACGCAATTCTCGGGTACGAGTGAGGTACCCAATCACTTTCATTTGTCACACACACGAGCACACACAAAAAAAGGAAGTAAAACACGAAAGATATTGAACCAACAATTCTTTTAGTTGTCAATCCGCACACACCTTTACTAAACTTTTCTTGGCTAAATCCGTTGAAACCTCAAATCGAAGGTAAGAGGTATTCAGGTAACATATTTTCACAGTACACTAGAAGCACAGGGGGACAATAAAATTTCATTTCTAACAAGAAAAAAAAAGATTATTTTTTGTATCTAAACCAGATACTGGTAAATTGTTCATATTTTTTTATAATTTCCTAAAATTAGAATATCATAGTAAACAAAATTATTTCCTAGAATATCAGTGAATCTTTGATATATCCGAACTATTCTAGAATGACAACATATAATTGCTTCATTCTAGTCACTGCTGACCTTTAAGAACATACGAGTTCACAAGTTATTCTCATGTTTTAGAGATTTCTGATTAATAATTCTCAAATTCATCGCTTAAATTACGATGAGACTATGCTGAAGAAGAAAGTAATAAAACGTTTGTGTTGAGAACTAAGGGATGGTCCTGTTTCTGGGTGTCGATCCCACATCCCAGTTGATGCAGGGTCAAGTCTCACCCACATCAATATTCCCCCTCCCCTTGGATACCTTATCCAATACAAAAGTAAAAGGATTTCACTACATACCCAGTGAAGTATATTTTCATCTGATCCAAAGGAGTCTATATCTGAAGCCTTTCTTCCAGTTATGAGCTCCAAAATAAAAACCCCAAAGCTGTACACATCATTCATTTCAGAGAATATCCCCGTTTGACCTACCCTATAAATTCATATAATCTACAAATTCAGTGTTGTTAAAAGCTAATTTTCTATGCTAGAAACTGAAATGCAACCAGAAAAAGAAAAGAAAGAAAAAAGCTTTACTCTGGATCTTTGAAAACATTGATACTGGTTGATTGAGATGGACCTGCCTCTTCAATTTGTTTCAATAGTTTTGAAACCCCAGCATCTGCAACCTTAGCAATGAAGTTCTCATCAACCAAAACATTAGCTGTTTTAAAGTTGCTGTGTACTATGGGAGGGTGTTGACTATGCAAATGGCATAAACCTGCATTAGTGAAAAAAACACCCTTTCATCGAGTCATTCTTTTTTCTTTTTCTTTTTTTTTTAAATTTTTTTTTAATATGGGTGAAATGGGAAATCTCATTGCATTGTTTTGATGATACCTTTAGCTGCCCCAATAGCTATGGATAACCTTTGCTTGAACTCTAGTTTCGTCTTTGAATCTTTTCCTGTATCTGTCTAACAGCAAATTACTATGACATATATCCAACGCACAAATGTAAATTACTACTCTCTTTACGAGGCTTACCATACAAATGCTTGCACATGCTGCCATTTGGTAAGTATTCAAAAACTAACATTTGGTATCCACTGTCCTGGCAGTAACCTAGAAGAGTAACTAGGTTGCGGTGCCAAATCCCTGACAAGTAGACTACCTGTTATTCAAAATGGGAGATCTCAGAGGTTCAAAGATTGGTCTCAATAACATCTCTAACAAATATCTGAAAGTGTAATATGGTGACTTATTTAGTCAATTTAGCCTACCTTCTTATAGAAATG